ATATTTAACTTGTTAACTAAATATTTAATTAGTAAGTTAAATATTTAGTTTATAAACTATGACATTTATAAATGTTTGAATCATATGGTGAAAAACTGACTTTGAAAAATAAATCTGTTATTTGTTTTCTTATAAAAGGCTAAACAAAACAAAAATATTGGTGGTAATTTTTGACTGTGTAACTTTACAAACGGCACCCCATAATTAACTAGTGCTTCTATATTTTTAATGTGAAAAGGAAAACAGCTCCATGACACATGCCATCATATTGTCCCAGTTTTGTGAAAAGGAACCAGAAGAATTAGAAAAATTTGGTACCAGTCGAACGCTGGGATGTGTGGTTTGTCCAAAGCCAAACCCAAACTGCACACATCACAGAGTTAAGACTCAAACCAGTAACACACAGTTTTTTTGGACCTTCTTGTATAACCACACTCACGAGGACTTCACATACAGCTGATTCCACTTCATCTGCGTTGCTCTCAGTTCATTTGAGATTACTGTTCTTCAGCACGCTCTGCTTTTCTGTTGCTTCTGCAGTGAGCTGTTGTTTAGCATCTGTCTTTTTCTGACTGTGTGAAAGTTAAGGAAAAGATACAAACAAAAGATTTAGCCCTAATAAGGGAAATAGGCTGAAAAATGATGTCTGAAATGAGGAGGCAACAAATGGTTTTGCAGAGAGCTGATGCTGAACTAAAATAGATGGCTACATCTGGTGTTAATAGAGTTCAATTGGTTGTGTCCATGCTTGGCTGCTTCTTTAGGGTAGGTGCATAAATGAAGAAAAGCCCAAACAAGCAGGCACATTTTCAATGACTTTTGAAATCCTCCTTCTCTGATTTGCATTAACTTTTTATGTGGATACGGTATTCATGTTGCAGTTAGATTGTGCATTTAATTCAGTGGTTCTGATAAAAAAAACTCCTCTCATGAAGTAGCCAAATTAGCTCCAGCTTCCTCTGCAAAGAACTGGGTTAGAGGTACAAGTTAGTAAGTTGTTTTCTCTGCATGCCACCAAGAAATGCCACAAATTGATCTGTAGGAATAAATTAAAGTTCTGTGTAAAAGTTATAGCTAATAAATATATCATAAGGAGTTATTCTTAAATTACCTGAGTTTGGAGAAACAGAGTAGGACTGGCAAGCTAACGGCTAGTCCAAACTCAGACCAAAGTGGATTGATGTTATTTCAAAACAACTCCAGTTTCTAAAAATAAACATCATCAATCAAGTTCTGGTATAAACCACCATCTGTTTTGTAATATATAGTTAAATAATTCTGTAAATGAGTAACGATAGCAGCCAACTGTAGCACTTCCAGGGTTTTCAGGTGTCACCTCTGGCTGGAATGTCTTTATTTGTCTGCTGAAATGTTAGTGTTCTGCTAAATTCAAGGCAATGTAAAGGTTTTAATAACAGCATTTGCATGAGCCGTTACTAAATTAGAAAAATTACAGCTGGTTTTCTTACACAGCAGCAATTTATTTAACTTTATTTAGCTTTAGCTGTGTTCAGACCAGTTATTAGCTCATTAGTTCTGTCTGATGTTAACTAGTTCTTCACACAGCTACATGCTACTTTTAAACTTTTACACAGAAATCCAGGTTAAAATCTGTTTCTTCATTTTCTCCCTAAGTGTTTGGAGCTTTCTGAAATGCTCACACCCGAGCATCTCACATGTTCTTGCTAATGGTTTTCCTAAAGTACATCACTAAGTGAGAACATGTATGATGTGATTTTTATTAAGAACATTTTTGTTCTCCTGGGCTGTTTATTTTGTGTATTTGTTATTTATTTTGTGATCCTTTCTGTGCTGGTTTTATATTTTATTCATTTTTATAGTCTAATTTACTGTGATCAGTCAGATAAAGGTCATCCTGGATATTTTTAGAGTCTCACTTTTTGCAAGTGATGTCATTTTTACGCCTGTTTCAGTGTTGACAAGATAGAAACAGCATTCTTCCTTTGACTGTTCCGGTTTGATTTTCAAGCATAGACCCATTTAACTGAATGCCTCATGATGTCCTGAGGTTTTGGTCACTTTTGATCAGTGAACAATGATAGCCATGTCTGTGAAAATGTATTATTTTTGAGCAAATGTCAACTTGGTCCAGTCGCTTAGTTAGACTTCATTCTTCATACTTTACATAGCTGTATAAATGCATACAAATTATTAATGAGGTAATATAT